AAAGTTTGGTGTTCTCTGTCAGAATGGATTCAGCTTGCCTAGGATCTTTGAAGTAGATTCTGGACCCAATCTCCTCATGGATGGTTGGGTGAAAATAAGGATAAGGGATACCCTGGGAAAGACCTAATTGCCTGGACCATTAATTGGGACAATATGTCTCAAAACTGCAGTTCGACATCTTGGTGAAGGATATGGAATAGCCAACCAAGACATGTCTATAGGTGAGAATGTGTCTCCAAGTCTCATTTTGTGGTTGGACTTGCTCATTGTCTAAATCAGAAGGGTCTATCAAGAGGAAACGAAGTTTACTGGAAGAGAATTGAAAGTTTTGAAATGGCATGTACAAGTTGGAAGGTCTTTTCAAAGGAAGGTTGTAAAACATGGTAAGATGATTTCTGAAAGTGAGGATGGGTTGGCTGTTATAAGTGAGCAATTGTTTAGCATAGGAGTGAAAAATTGGTTTCAAGGTGTTGGGTGGTGAGGGTCGTGCCTCAGGGAAATAGGCATATAACTAAGCCTGGAAGAGCCAGAAGCGTCCACCACAGTTGCCAGAAATCTTCTTGTCGACAAAGGAAAATAGGGCCTTGTAAAGGGTGGCAAGAAGATTGGCCATCTTGCATACATGAGGCAAGGGGGACGTACTCCTTGGTGATCTTGTACCCAGGGACACAAAAAAGAAACTAACAAAGCCAAAGTAAGTAAAAATCAGTTCTTTCTTGGTCCTTTACAGGGGAAACATGCTTACCTTTGTATTTCCGGGTGAAATCTGTATAGCTCATGTCAGTGTTTAAAGTAAAGGTCACTTTTGGAGGCTCAAGGAGAGCATGAATTTCATTGCCCAAGATTGGGAGACCAGTCAAGTGAGCTACATCTAAGATGACAGGGGAAATCATACCAAATTGAGGAGAAGGGAGTTACAAGATTACGACCAAAAGCATGCAGCAGTAACAATTAGCTCTCTGTCCATGTCATATTTCTTAGTTGACAGTCTAATTGCTTCACTAATGCCCTAGTACTTCCATACTTCAGAGTCATGACCTTTAATTCTCCTGGCCCAGCTTTGCCAAACAGAGTCTGGTGACCTCCAGCCTCTGACTGGGTTTTTGCTGACATTCCAATTAGTCCACTTAAGTCTAGATTGGTTGAGAAGAAGGTTCTCACCATTACCAAGGGGATAGTATGGACCTAGCTCGTCTGGGAAGTAAGATGTGAAGGTAGGGCCTAGAGTAGCCTTAGCGACAGAGCTTGTGCTAGGCAATAAGGTAATACTTAATTTTAGAGGAGTGATACGTGCTTTGATAGGGTCTGGGAAGCGGAGTAGGTTTTCATTGTTCTCCTCAGATGGAGAAGGTTGAGATTTTTTGGGCGCCATGGTTTAGGGTTTTGTGGTGCTGTGGTTTTGAACGACAATGCTTGAGAAGAAGGAGTACAGTCTGAGGAGTTCGAATCAAAGGGAAATGAAGTGGTTTGAAGTTGAAAATGTGGGTCTTTTATAGCTTATGATGGGGCCAATATATTTAAATGCTCTTATATTAGACTGTAGTTTATGTTTGTTTTGGGCCCATATTAAGAAATTTGATACTGGACTTATCTCTTGGGCTCAGGGGAATAAATCTCTGGGTTAAGTACAAATTAGGCCCAAACAATGGCCCCCTTGTTCAAATTAAATATCATATGACTTGGACCCCCACAATGGGGGCACCCCCATGACCCCCTCTCTCTCTGATTGACCAGTTTTTCTTTTTTTTTTGTTTTTTTTTTCTTCCTCTCCAATCACCAGCCCCCACTTAGGTGGTGGGGGTGGTGATTGGAAGGGGTCTCAATCACTTCCCCAGATGGTCCACTTAATGGAGGACACGTGGCCAAGTCTGAAGGAATGGCCACTAGTTAAAAGTGGGTTCTTTGCATGTGGGTCACCTACAAGTGATGGGGGTAGTTTTTAGCACCAGTCGTGGAGTTAGTGGGCACACTTTCAGGAGGAAGCATGAGACAAAGCAAGAGCCTTGCTTTGTTGACAGAAGTTTCAAACAGTTGGTGGCCATGAAGCAAACAGAAGAAATGGGAGATCGACAGATAGAAGTGAAGGTTTAGTATACTTGGAAAGCCTAGAAGGGAGATCATGGGTTTTGATATCCGTACACTGTTTTTGTGGCCCATCATTGCATGATCTCAAACGTTTACACCATAACTGCCACTGTAACTGTCCCCTGACTTCAAATTTTCATGTCCTCTCTGCCAAATACTGACTCTTCCCTATCGACCTTCCTTTTCACCATTGTGGGGCATGTCCCTCATCATTATGAGACAAAAATCGATAGAATATTGTCCACTAAACACAATCACAATCCTTGCAAACTGGGCCACTGAACCACAACACTTGGCCACTCACTGTACTGCCCCCTGACTTTGAATCATCAAACTCTGCCAAATATTGAATTTTCCCTGTAATTTAATCAATATATTCAATGTTGGTAAACTTGTTAATATTTGAAATAACCTTTTTTTGGATTGTAATGACTTAAACACAATTGTTGTCCTACATTTTACGTAACCACAATACACAACTTATTTATATCGAAAACAAAATATACATCTCAGGTTTATAATCATAAAAATGGAAACTACTTTTTTTTTAAAAAAAGATTCACTTATATTTTCAGCTAAATTATGATTGGTTATTTTTTAAAAATTCCTCTTTGCACCTATTTTTCCCACATCTTGCGAACAACTGCTCCATTCAATTGAGGACACATGGCAAGTCCACCTGAAGACAAGGGTTATCAACTAACATTGAATTTTGCATGCTACCTGACTTACACGGTGGAGCAGTTACTGGCAGTGCTTATGGATTTAGTGGCCAGTCTCCAAAAGGAAACATGAACGAATTGGGAGTTTGTATCTGTCGAGGAAAGGTTAAAAGGACTTGCGCACAGGTGGCAACTTCAATGATATGCACTTCGACAGGTACAAGTGAAGGTTTTATGTGGTTTCAAGACACAGAAATGACCATGCAGTTACAGAAGTTGCACAGAAGCAATTGCAAAATCAGCAGATCATGGGGTCGTGGGAAATAAGAGCTATAAAGGGTAGAAGGTTTGCAGAGAGAGAGGACATGAACAACAACACAATAACTTACTTTATACATTGTAACTTCTAAGTAATTTTTTCCTTTCTCATTTGTACTTTGTCACTGGGTGAACTTTGGTGATTTCAACCTCAAATCAGCAAAGGTTTATCAGAAAGTTCATTTTACTTATTTACTTTGTTACCATCAGTTCATCAAAAGAAGTCTTCATCCTTTTCAGGCATTCGAACCAATACCACAATTGCTTGATTTTCTTCTTTAACTTGTCAACTTTAAATTACTGCTTGGTTGTTGTTGATATAGGCCCACCATAATTTTACTAATAATAAACCCATCACTTTCATAGTTAACATGAAATAATTTCACAACTCCTGTTCGTAACTCGTAATTCATATAGCAATCGGCATAGAGGTAAAGTAAACGAGTTCGTTGGGTTACTTTCTCCAAGTAACAACCAAAATTAACTGCCACTTGGATTATATACAAAATGCATGTGCTGGGATGTAATTTTACAAAACCACATGGACAAAATTCGTATTGTACTCAAAATATAATACTAATTTACCGAAACAAGTCATAACAAGTCAATACGAAGCCAAACACATCGTTAGTTGATAAACCACACCGCAAAAAACCCTTCAGTTAGATCCAACCAAATATGAAATAGAAACAAGCAACCCACAATAGGAATCTTGGAATGCAGACATAAGCCAATTTCCAACCCAAAACAATACACGGATAACCCATATATATCTCACCTTCAATTAGTTTTCAAAATGACAAGTCACTGCAAACACAAATGACAATATCACTCTAAACAATATGGAAAATTTATAACTCATGGACCTGTACATAAGTAATGTTGTGCCATTTCCTGGCATTGTACGTAACCAATTATTTACACGTTATGTATAACAATCCGTGCAAAATGAAAACTACATACATATCTACCCTGTTCTTTCAATAATTAAGGGAATAAGTAAATCATACAAATTATACAATTACCTGATTCACCTCATCAATTGTGGTCGAATCATTTTTTCACACTGCTGCTTCGACACTACCGTATTGGCCCACAGGCTGTTTGGAATCAGGAGAAACATCGAAAAATAGTCGTCGTTGCTTAATATGCGGTGTACTTGGATCCACCAACCCAGTCTTGCAACGAATGGGCAATGACTCCACATTGTACTCAGGGTCAGTGATGTGGGTTGTATCTGCATCTGAGTTACTATGCACTGTTCGGCTAAATCAAACCTTAGGACACGTTCACTTTGTGTGCCCAATGCATTTGCAATTCTTACATTTTGTTGGTCTTTGATAGTTGGATGAGGCCCATTCCCACGTTCCATTTTGTTTTCACAAGATCAGGATCTTCTACTCCAAATTGTCGTGGGATTGAATGTTTCCCTTTGTCTCCATCCCCATCGTTCAGATTCCTCTCATGTAACTCCTTCATCCGGTTCGTCATCGGAAGACATGCATCCTTAGCCTCTTTGAAACCTTCCGTTGATTGCGAGGCATAGAAACACATTTCGTTGTAGGAAGAACACAATATCCCATACCGGGCCGTCTGTGTTGTAGTGCTATCAATTGAGGGTTGAGGCCATTGCTGGCCATCCTTGCTTGCAGCCCTTGTCCATCTATGCAGCACACAAGTTGGGGGAATTTGCGTTAAATTTTCAGCTTTCATAACACATATCATGTGGCAGCAAGGTAGCCCCAACGACTCAAACTTCATGCAAGAACATCTCATTGCAGCATCCACTGGACTGTGTGTTACTATCTATGATCTATCCTTCAATTTGTACTTATGAATATAGTAGCATTTCTGACCATCCGGCAAAGGGAACACGTCCTTGACATTCAACTTCCCATCTTCTAAGATTTCATCACGAAACATTCTAAATATATTTCAGGTGAATAGCTCAGCCCCATGTCTCTCTATATCTCGCAATGGAGTAATCAATACCGGAAAAGTGTTAATTGTTTCAGCATCAGCCTCATTATACCTTATCCTTGCAAGAGCCCGATCATAGTGCCTAACAAATTCATATAGCTTCAATTTGTGTTGGAGGAAGGGATTGAAATAAGCATTCATACACTCCGAGCGCTGAGTGCTCTTCATCCCAGCAAAGAAATGTCCACGCATATATGCCTCAGCCCACATATGACGCTTCTCATATGTCTCCAACACCCAACTGTTGGTTTGAAGTCCAAATTCTTCGACCATTGTCGTCCAGCCATGCTCAAACTTTGTCTCATCCGTTTCCATGTCCATGCACTGCTTGAAAGCATGTGCAAAGCCACTTATGTGAACATTTGAAACAGCATTTTTCCCAAGATGCCAATTACATAATCGATGTCTTGCGTCAAGAAATACTCTTCTGATTGCCTCTCGCATCGCCTTATCCTCATCAGTATGGACACAGGTGCTTTATTACCCATCGCCTCCATAAATGTTTCCAAAACCCATGTGTATGTCTCACTTGTCTCATTAGCTAGCAAAACACATGCAAATATCGTGGTCCTAAAGTGGCTAGTCACACCAGCCAACATGACAAAAGGTTTCTTGTATGCATTGGTTCTGTAAGTTGAGTCAAATATCAACACATCACCAAACTTTGCGTAGTCGACTCGCGATTTCGAATCTGCCCAGAACATATTTTATAACTTGTTATCGTTACACACTTCATACTTGTAAAAAAAATGTGCATCAACATCAAGTTTTGCACATAGGTAAACCAACGCACCCTGCGCATCACCATCCTCAACTTCAGCTCTACGTTTGGCTTGAATATGGTTGTGCAGATCCGTACGGATGAAGCCAACATTCTCATAAGACCCGGATTGATTTACCATATAGTCCATGATTTGGCTAGTCTTCACACCGACGTTGCGCATAGCCATTGCTTGAGCTTTGTCAGCGCTGTTTAAAGTGCGATGTGACCTCAGATACATCATATAGTGTTGTTCCGCCAATTCATGGTTATGGTCTGCGACGAAGTGAGTCACAACATACTTTCCCCCTTCACCAGCATCTGTATCGTACCGTATGCGAAATTGGGCTTTGTAACCTACTCTTGTTAGTGCCTTGGGAGCTCTACTCTTCTCAGCAACACGGTCCAAGTATTTTGGTAATCTCTGACCTTCCCTTGAACACAACCACAGCCTACTAACGACCTTTCCCTCTTTATTTGTGTTAAATCTGGATTTTCGTATACTAAATCCCTTGGCTTTAGCATACGCATTGTAGAAAGCCTCTCCATCTTCGACCGAATCAAATTTCTGTTCCAGAATAGCACGTTCAACATCACCAACCATGTCATTGCGATGAGCATTGTCAACCATTTCTTTTTTCACATCGGCTCCGCCATATTCAACGTTCATATTGGTTGCTTCTTCATTGCTCGGACCAGCTTCGCAACCATGATAAGGTTCCGCCAGACTTTCATTCATCAAACGAATGTCATCTGCTTCATTTGGAATGTCATAATCATCACCTTCCCTTTTAACTTCCGCTGGGGTCATACTGCACATGACATTAGTACAAACAATTACTTGATGACCGAAAAATATTAACACAAACACAAACATGACATTTTCACACGGTTTAGTTGTTTGTGCAAACACAAACACTCGCTTGAGAAAGAGAAAGGTTAGTTGCCAATGGAGGGGTTTCCATTTGAGTGAAGCGTAGAGCAGTTGAAGTTAGGATGGGGGTTTAGTTGAGGGAAAATAGCTGAAGTGAAGAGGCCAGAGTGACAGAGAGGGATATAGAGAGAGGGAGACAGCTCCATACCTTATATCTAGTTGGAGAGAAGGGATTCACTTCAACAATCGAACCAACACAGCCTTGTAGTTCCGTTGTTGTTAGAAATCGCCAGTTATATTGTTCCCTACAGAGCTTCGTCAATGGAACCAACCCAGCAGGGGCCTCTCGCTATTAATGGAAATCAAGGGTTACACTGACTCAACCTTACACAGAGAGAGATAGAGACAAAATATAGAGAGTGAGTAGGATGCAATCATGCAAATACAAACACAAGCATTAACCGGTTGGCCCGGTTTCAACTTTTTCACGACTAAACAATTCAATGATCTTGATCAATTCTTATAATCTAACGGCTAAGAATTGGGTTGCATATGGTATGCAACCTTAAGGGGGTTGCACACTTAAACATTACCCTAATTTGATATGCATGCTGTTGTGGTTTTTATAATACATGTAATCAAATTTATTTTATAAAGGGAAAAGTGCTACTGTTTTATTTGGAGAACCTGATGCTAATTTTTCTGAAAAGACCATTTGGTTTTATGATATAAAACTAAGGCTCATGTTCTAATTTTGGTTAACAATTTAAATATTTGTTTTATGTTGTTTGGGCATAGTAGTGCTTCCTTGTGTAGTTTAATTTTGTGAGTCTAAGTTTTAATTTCCTACCATGAGATGCATGACTTTCAATATAATATAATTTACATAATTTATATAATTTCCTATCATGCTAATTATTTTCTAGCTTTTAGTCTATCTTGCATAATTTAATTACTTGAATTATCTCCATTTTATTGCTTACATTGTTTTTGTTTTGTAACGATTATATATAGCTTTTGCCTATTTACTTGAATTATCTCCATTTTATTGCTTACATTGTTTTTGTTTTGTAACGATTATATATAGCTTTTGCCTATTAAATTTAATTTAAGGTTGTGGAGTTATCAAAATTGTGTAACTTGTCTATATTTATGTACATGTTTATTGTGTAAATAAAACTGTAAATTTATTTTATTGACGTAATAATGTCATATATAATTACTTCATAATTTGAATTTAATTATGTGAAGTTATAAGGTATATATGTAACTCTTGCTAATTAAAAATTTTAATTTTGTAACTTGTCTATATTTATTTACTTGTTTATTGTGTAAATTAAATTGTAAATTAAATTTTGGAGTTTTAGTTGTGTAATAATTTCATACATAACTAATGGGTATTAAAATTTTAATTTAATTTACTTGTAGAGTTATAAGTTTATTTTTATAACTCATCTAGCATTTTAATTCATTAGTTCATTTTGCTATTAATTAGTTTGCTAGAAGGTTTAAAATAATTTATTGTCTTTAGATTATATGGTTTGTATTTTTTCCTTGTAGTTTTCTACTAATTTTCTTTACAAGAATATTTATGCAAAAGGGATTGGGAAAAACAAATACAAATCAAATGAATAGTATTTGGGATGTCAAAACAAAAATGTTTAGACTACTAACCTTTGTGTTGAACATGAATACCTAGGCGTGGAAAGACTTTTGGACTAAATAGAATCTTTATGGATTGGCTATTTAATTTAAATGTTTGAAGTATTTTTTGCTTGAGATTTAGTTGGTTTGTTTACCAACTTGTAGTAGCAAGTTTTGTTTGCTTGTATTGTTAGAAGCATTTTATATGCATGTAATTGTTATAGCAATTTTTAACATTGCTTGTAATTTGGTTAGCAATTTTTAAATTGCTTGTAAGTTTGGAACTTGGTTTGATTTTCTGTAAACCTTTGGGGTTTGAGAAAGTCTTTGGGTTTAATCATTTTATTCTCAAAGTGTTGGAAAACCAAGTTTGGAGAAAATGTTTGGTTATAATTTGATTATTTCCAAAGTGTTTTGTTTTTGAGAAAAGAAACCACATTTTAGCATTAGCTAAAATATTTCTGATTTTTATTCAGAAATAATGGGCTCAGTTTCAGGAGTACCGGTTAACTTTTATGAGTGGTGTAATTCTAGTAACAAATTTTATTTGTTGGGGAATTGGTTTGTTTTAACCTAGTGTATCCCTTGAAAACCTTAATTCCAAAAATTGTTTCCCATGCACTCGGAGTCAACATGTTCTTGAAAGTTTTGTCAAAAGGTTAACTGGGTTTTAAGTGGAACTGATGTGACCCCTCCAATCTTCCTACGAACATTCTTGACCATGTTCGATTCTAGGTTAAGTGGTGAGACTAGTTTTGAATTGAATTTTCAACTGTGGGATTTTCTAAGTGTTAAGTTTAATTTCTGGAAACACAGGAAGTGAAATTCAGTTGGGAGTTTTCAGAAATGGCTTCAAGAGGTGACAATAGAAATGTTATTCTACTTGCCAACCTTAAGCCTTGCGAGGTTCTTAAAGGAAGATCTAGAGAGATCAAGTGTGATTATAGGAAATCATAAAGATTATATGATAATATCTCTGAATTAATTAGAGACAATTAGTATATTATCATTGTGTCAATTATAACATATATGATTGCTACGTGACTTTGCTTGAAAGCAAAGATGAGACAACCAGTTAGGGTGGGAGAATATAATTTTGAATTTTTAAATTCCAAATATATTCTTAAATTGGTGGTTCCTAGTGAGTACAAGATCACTAATCACAGAGATAGAAAACTGGTGGTTCCTAGGAGGTGTTAGAGCACTGGTTATACAGTTATGAGTTTATGGTTCCCAAGTGTGATTATAGGAAATCATAAAGATTGCATGATAATATCTCTGAATTAATCAGAGACAATTAGTATGTTATCATTGTGTCAATTATAACATATATGATTGCTACGTGACTTTGCTTGAAAGCAAAGATGAGACAACCGGTTAGGGTGAGAGAATATAATTTTGAATTTTTAAATTCCAAATATATTCTTAAATTGGTGGTTCCTAGTGAGTACAAGATCACTGATCATAGAGATAGAAAACTGGTGGTTCCTAGGAGGTGTTAGAGCACTGGTTATACAGTTATGAGTTTATGGTTCCTAGTAGTGAACAGATTACTGATCACATGTCATGACATGATGGTTCTTAGTAATGGAGAGGCTACTGATCATATGTCAAGACATGGTGATTCCTAATAATGAAAGAGTCTATTGATCCTATATCAAGACATTGTGATTCCTAGTAGTAAAAAGTCTACTGACCACATGCTGAGAAATTAGTGATTCCTAGTGATAAGACTACTGGCCATGTTTATGAAGTTTCGAATAGTAGACTATTGAACACTGGATTTGTGTCTCCTAATAGCAAAACTATTGGTTCCAGAGTGATAGGTTGGATCAAATATGTTTGGGTGCTTAATTCGGTTAATGACATTTTGGGAATGTATTTATTGTGATATGGTTTTGAGAGTTTCATAATCATTGTGACATAAGGAATTGTTTAAAGGCCCTGTATGAATTTTTGGAAAAGGCCAAAAGCCTTTGTATAAATTCTACAAATGTGGAGGTGTCATGAAAAATGTGGGAATACCTAAACCCAAGAGGGTTAGGATAAACCTAAAAATCCGTTGACTTTGTATTCAACGGTTATGCACAATATAGCAATGCTTATCGATTTCTTGTGTATAGGTCTATTATTCTAGATATACACAAGAATACTATAATGGAATCA